TGGTGTATGTGCTTGGCTGAGGAGCCAATGGTGCGAAGCTACCATCTGTGGGATTATGACTGAACGCCTCTAAGTCAGAATCCCGCCTAGACGTAACGATACCATAGCGCCGCGGATCTTTGGTTGGCCCCGGATAACCGACTTCGGTCGGTGAGTAGAGCCGTTCGTGACAGGGCTGGGGTGCGGCCGGATGATGGTCGCCCCTCTCCTATCTCGCACCGCATGTTTGTGGAGAACCTGGTGCTAAATCACTACATTTTTCTCTCCACAAGGTTTGAGAATGACTTGCAGGGTCTCATTGGATACGTATTGATCCAAGCTCTGCATTGATATGTGCATTATCTATGAGAGCCCTTCTCATCTTGAGATAACGGGCCAAAACCAGTGAACATATTCCTACTTTTATGAAAAGTTGAATATTAAAAGTTTTCAAAGAGGATTTTCATAGCCCTAACTTTGTTTTGAAAAGATGAAACCAAGCTTCCATGGCTGCTGAGGATCCAAGCTTTCAGGAAATGTATAATATGTCCAATTTAATACATGTTAAGCCAATAATGAAGTACAAAAACTAATATACCCCGACTGTCTGTGAATGTTGATATCTCGGGATAACTGACACATGGGTTACGTATTACCAGATATCAACGTACATGAATGTGTTACTACAGAAGCCAGCTGCATCAGCCTGGGTGTCTGTGAGTGTGAGAGCCTGCACACAGACATGATTCTGCAGTGATTCTGCTGTGTTTCTCTCCCCTTACATTTGGCCTGTACTAATTAATGGTGAAATGAACAGCAATGGACATTTTGAAGCAGGTCAAAACTTAGAAACCACCAGTTGTGTTTTTTGCAATAGGCGTTTGAAACATAATTCACATCTCTTTATTGGTCACTGTTTGTCTAAACAAGGTCTGACATTGATATTCATGGTGTCTATGGAAAGGTCTCAGTCTGAGCTTTGCAGTGATGTATGAAACAAGGCTGAGGGACAAAGCTGGCCTGAGCTACAGTCCCATAACGGTGGACATTTAACAAATTAAATAAGTAGAGCTCATATGAGCACCTGTACATTTTTGTCTCCACAAGGTTTGAGAATGACTTGCAGGGTCTCATTGGATACGTATTGATCCAAGCTCTGCATTGATATGTGCATTATCTATGAGAGCCCTTCTCATCCTGAGATAACGGGCCAAAACCAGTGAACATATTCCTGCTTTTATGAAAAGTTGAATATTAAAAATGTTCAAAGAGGATTTTCATAGCCCTAACTTTGTTTTGAAAAGATGAAACCAAGCTTCCATGGCTGCTGAGGATCCAAGCTTTCAGGAAATGTATAATATGTTCAATTAGTTGAAAGTCTAGGGACATTGTAGTATGACATAAATGCATACAATCCTAATCTTGTGCAATATGCGCATATGTCACCAGGAGGTTGACAATCTTAACAAGGTCCAATATTCTCAAATCAGGTATCTATGGATTGGCCTCAGCCTAAGCTATGTCACCATATGTGCATTATCTATGAGAGCCCTTCTCATCCTGAGATAACGGGCCAAAACCAGTGAACATATTCCTGCTTTTATGAAAAGTTGAATATTAAAAATGGTCAAAGAGGATTTTCATAGCCCTAACTTTGTTTTGAAAAGATGAAACCAAGCTTCCATGGCTGCTGAGGATCCAAGCTTTCAGGAAATGTATAATATGTCCAATTTAATACATGTTAATCCAATAATGAAGTACAAAAACTAATATACCCCGACTGTCTGTGAATGTTGATATCTCGGGATAACTGACACATGGGTTACTTATTACCAGATATCAACGTACATGAATGTGTTACTACAGAAGCCAGCTGCATCAGCCTGGGTGTCTGTGAGTGTGAGAGCCTGCACACAGACATGATTCTGCAGTGATTCTGCTGTGTTTCTCTGCCCTTACATTTGGCCTGTACTAATTAATGGTGAAATGAACAGCAATGGACATTTTGAAGCAGGTCAAAACTTAGAAACCACCAGTTGTGTTTTTTGCAATAGGCGTTTGAAACATAATTCACATCTCTTTATTGGTAACTGTTTGTCTAAACAAGGTCTGACATTGATATTCACGGTGTCTATGGAAAGGTCTCAGTCTGAGCTTTGCAGTGATGTATGAAACAAGGCTGAGGGACAAAGCTGGCCTGAGCTACAGTCCCATAACGGTGGACATTTCACAAGTTAAATAAGTAGAGCTCATATGAGCACCTGGACATTTTTGTCTCCACAAGGTTTGAGAATGACTTGCAGGGTCTCATTGGATACGTATTGATCCAAGCTCTGCATTGATATGTGCATTATATATGAGAGCCCTTCTCATCCTGAGATAACGGGCCAAAACCAGTGAACATATTCCTGCTTTTATGAAAAGTTGAATATTAAAAATGTTCAAAGAGGATTTTCATAGCCCTAACTTTGTTTTGAAAAGATGAAACCAAGCTTCCATGGCTGCTGAGGATCCAAGCTTTCAGGAAATGTATAATATGTTCAATTAGTTGAAAGTCTAGGGACATTGTAGTATGACATAAATGCATACAATCCTAATCTTGTGCAATATGCGCATATGTCACCAGGAGGTTGACAATCTTAACAAGGTCCAATATTCTCAAATCAGGTATCTATGGATTGGCCTCAGGCTAAGCTATGTCACCATATGTGCATTATCTATGAGAGCCCTTCTCATCCTGAGATAACGGGCCAAAACCAGTGAACATATTCCTGCTTTTATGAAAAGTTGAATATTAAAAATGGTCAAAGAGGATTTTCATAGCCCTAACTTTGTTTTGAAAAGATGAAACCAAGCTTCCATGGCTGCTGAGGATCCAAGCTTTCAGGAAATGTATAATATGTCCAATTTAATACATGTTAAGCCAATAATGAAGTACAAAAACTAATATACCCCGACTGTCTGTGAATGTTGATATCTCGGGATAACTGACACATGGGTTACTTATTACCAGATATCAACGTACATGAATGTGTTACTACAGAAGCCAGCTGCATCAGCCTGGGTGTCTGTGAGTGTGAGAGCCTGCACACAGACATGATTCTGCAGTGATTCTGATGTGTTTCTCTCCCCTTACATTTGGCCTGTACTAATTAATGGTGAAATGAACAGCAATGGACATTTTGAAGCAGGTCAAAACTTAGAAACCACCAGTTGTGTTTTTTGCAATAGGCGTTTGAAACATAATTCACATCTCTTTATTGGTCACTGTTTGTCTAAACAAGGTCTGACATTGATATTCATGGTGTCTATGGAAAGGTCTCAGTCTGAGCTTTGCAGTGATGTATGAAACAAGGCTGAGGGACAAAGCTGGCCTGAGCTACAGTCCCATAACGGTGGACATTTCACAAGTTAAATAAGTAGAGCTCATATGAGCACCTGGACATTTTTGTCTCCACAAGGTTTGAGAATGACTTGCAGGGTCTCATTGGATACGTATTGATCCAAGCTCTGCATTGATATGTGCATTATATATGAGAGCCCTTCTCATCCTGAGATAACGGGCCAAAACCAGTGAACATATTCCTGCTTTTATGAAAAGTTGAATATTAAAAATTTTCAAAGAGGATTTTCATAGCCCTAACTTTGTTTTAAAAAGATGAAACCAAGCTTCCATGGCTGCTGAGGATCCAAGATTTCAGGAAATGTATAATATGTGCAATTAGTTGAAAGTCTAGGGACATTGTAGTATGACATAAATGCATACAATCCTAATCTTGTGCAATATGCGCATATGTCACCAGGAGGTTGACAATCTTAACAAGGTCCAATATTCTCAAATCAGGTATCTATGAATTGGCCTCAGCCTAAGCTATGTCACCATATGTGCATTATCTATGAGAGCCCTTCTCATCCTGAGATAACGGGCCAAAACCAGTGAACATATTCCTGCTTTTATGAAAAGTTGAATATTAAAAATGTTCAAAGAGGATTTTCATAGCCCTAACTTTGTTTTAAAAAGATGAAACCAAGCTTCCATGACTGCTGAGGATCCAAGCTTTCAGGAAATGTATAATATGTTCAATTAGTTGAAAGTCTAGGGACATTGTAGTATGACATAAATGCATACAATCCTAATCTTGTGCAATATGCGCATATGTCACCAGGAGGTTGACAATCTTAACAAGGTCCAATATTCTCAAATCAGGTATCTATGGATTGGCCTCAGCCTAAGCTATGTCACCATATGTGCATTATCTATGAGAGCCCTTCTCATCCTGAGATAACGGGCCAAAACCAGTGAACATATTCCTGCTTTTATGAAAAGTTGAATATTAAAAATGGTCAAAGAGGATTTTCATAGCCCTAACTTTGTTTTGAAAATATCAAACCAAGCTTCCATGGCTGCTGAGGATCCAAGCTTTCAGGAAAAGTATAATATGTCCAATTTAAGACATGTTAAGCCAGTCAAGCAGTCCCTAAACAAATGTGTACGCCATCGGCATTTGACCCGAGAGGTTTTGCGGAGAGGATTACACATGTGTCACAAAGATTAATAAATTCATAACAAATCCACCGTTGCTTCGTTATGTCCAAACGAGGTGTCTGTGAACTAGGAATTGCTGAGTGGAGCCATTGAGCACGTTGACTTTCCAGATTTTTGCACGTACAGAGAAAATATTTTCGTTGGATGCACGTTGATCACATAGTGACGTAGTTGGAACGGTGGTGCCACAGGGTGAATATCGTTGACTTTGGTGTCCACGCGTTCACATTGTCCTTAGTCTGGACCATGCCAGAGGTCCAACGTAGAAAGTCCAATTCTTGGCGGTTATTTGGGTCCGAAAGTACATGTGTCCGCCACATGTGTGTTATTATCGGGATTGATGGTGAAATAATATTTCCATACAATTATTTTTTGTAATTTTATGATTTTTAGGTTGACCTCGCGATATCGTGCATTATAGGATTTTTTTTTTTCTGAAATCGAGATTGATAGCCGCTCGCTCTAGTCTGTTGAGGATGAACCAGAGGGCCGAGGACCAAGAGCGGGTGTTTCTAAGGAAACGATCCCGAACAGAGTCAACACCAAAGAGGCTGTCCAAGTCCAAAGGTCCCTCCTGCAGGAAGTCCCCCATTGCCTCTCACACACCTGTATCCAGCTCCTCAGAACCTGCATCCATAGATACCGAGGCCTCGTCATCCTCCCCTCCCATACATTCCCCCTGGTTCAGCGGCAGGGGCCGGGGGAATCGAATGCGGGACATTACATTCCCACGCATCATGGAGAAGTATCTGCAAGGCTACCAGGACCATTATGAGGGCATCGATCCAACAGTGAGGCTCCAAGAAAACGCAGTCTCCAAAATAAGCAGAGTCAAATCATTCCTAAGCTTCATGGCACACGGTTTCAATCGCCTGTCTGACTGGCTCTTTTTGAGGGATCTGAAGAGGATACGTGGGTGGTCCCGGAGCCTGATAAAGTCAAGCCTACAGGTCACGACATCTGACTTCTATATCAAAAATATATCACACTTTCTCAAGTACATGAATGAAACACCATGCAAGGGGAGCAGGCTCAACCAGAATGACATGATTTTAATCACAAGGCAAGGCAAGTTTATTTATATAGCACTTTCCAACACAAGGCAATTCAAAGTGCACGGGAAGTTGCTGCCATCCTGAAGTCCATGAGAAAGAAGGTGTTTATCCACCAGATGCAGGTGAAGCGGGACAAGATGGAAGGTCTGCCACGCCATAAAGACATCATGGCATGTTTGACTGCGGCCAAAACTCGCATCCCTCAGCTCCTGGACGTGATGACCAGCAATCCGACTCACGCAACCCGGAGCCTGCTCTATGGGTACATGACCCTCAATTGGAGCTGCATTTATGGGCACCGTCCGGGGGTCTACTCCAACATGACCAACACGGAGGTCCTAAAGGCGGAGATAACTGGCACTGCCTTTGGCCACCTCATCCACGTGAGTGAGCTATTAAAACATGTGTTTATTCTGGCAGTGATACACATGTTGTGGATGATTGATACTTGTATTGACGCTCTCTAACTCTGTCATAACAGGTAAGCAACCACAAGACGGCCAACGCGTTCGGGGAAGCGCAGATGTACCTCACCATAGAAGAATTTGGATGGATGAAGAGGTGGCTGGAAATCAAGGGGACGCTGACCGGCACCAACAACCGCTACTTCCTCTGCATAGCGGGGAAGAACCCATCGAGGAACCTTGCCACCTTCCTGAGGTTGGCATGGGCTGATGTTGGACTAAAAGGTCCCATTAACTTCACCGACCTCCGCACAGTCCACGCCGATAATGCGAAGAGGTTTCAGGACATAAGCAACCGCCAAAGAGTGAGTGATTTCATGTGTCACAACACTGCAACTGCAGACAAATTTTATGCCAAGAATCCTTCTTTGAAGGAGGCTGCGGACATACGAATGCTCTTCACAGAGTCACTGCAAGCAGCGGCCGCAGCAGCATCAGGGGTGAGTGAAGACAATTTGGGGGACATTGACATCCACAGTGACCGTGACAGCTCTGGAGAGGAGCATAGCCCTACTCCCTACCAAGACTCCACCGATACCGAGACGTCAGATGAATTATACAAAGACTTCAACGCTTGGAGAGCGGCGAAGAGGGAACAGTCAATGGCCGAACACAGTCCCTCAGACACGGGTGAAGAGAGGGTGCCAGCCTCTGCACCAACTTCACCCGATACGGACAATGTTGCCAGTGACCAACTTGTAAATATGCAATGTTTTGTTGTACTCAGTCCGCTTGTGCTGGATGAGTTAATAATGTTATAATGTTATAAAGTGTCAATGTATATATTTCTGTAAATAAAGTTTGTTAAAATTACTTAATTTGTCCTCTTTTTTATAACCCAATATGGGTGTTTCCCCATTAAGATCCCCAGGGGCACGAGGTTCTGGTGGTGTGCATGAAGGGGTTTAGTCCACGTGAGGAGTGCTCAAATGTGGGAGGATGTGTAAGGCAGAGGAGGGTAAAACAAGTTAAAGTGTGAACCTCCAGCAGGGCAGGTGGTGCTGCTGTGAATAAGGCCGACTATGGAGTCCGATGGGCGGACTGTAAAGCACCGCAAAATACACCCCCTGATAGGTAACCAGGGCCATGAGAACATCCTCCACAGGAGGGTGGGTGGTGCTGTGAATAAGGCCGACTATGGAGTCCGATGGGCGGACTGTAAAGCACCGCAAAATACACCCCCTGATAGGTAACCAGGGCCATGAGAACATCCTCCACAGGAGGGTGCGTGCTGCTGTGAATAAGTCCGACTATGGAGTCCGATGGGCGGACTGTAAAGCACCGCAAAATAGACCCCCTTATAGGTTACCAGGGCCATGAGAACATCCTCCATAGGAGGGTGGGTGCTGCTGCTGTGAATAAGTCCGACTATGGAGTCCGATGGGCGGACTGTAAAGCACCGCAAAATAGACCCCCTGATAGGTAACCAGGGCCATGAGAACATCCTCCATAGGAGGGTGGGTGCTGCTGCTGTGAATAAGTCCGACTATGGAGTCCGATGGGCGGACTGTAAAGCACCGCAAAATAGACCCCCTTATAGGTTACCAGGGCCATGAGAACATCCTCCATAGGAGGGTGGGTGCTGCTGCTGTGAATAAGTCCGACTATGGAGTCCGATGGGCGGACTGTAAAGCACCGCAAAATAGACCCCCTTATAGGTTACCAGGGCCATGAGAACATCTTCCATAGGAGGGTGGGTGCTGCTGCTGTGAATAAGTCCGACTATGGAGTCCGATGGGCGGACTGTAAAGCACCGCAAAATAGACCCCCTTATAGGTTACCAGGGCCATGAGAACATCCTCCATAGGAGGGTGGGTGCTGCTGCTGTGAATAAGTCCGACTATGGTGTCCGATGGGCGGACTATAAAGCACCGCAAAATAGACCCCCTTATAGGTTACCAGGGGCACGAGTTTCTTGAGGGTGTAATCATCTGGGTTTAGTCCGTGGGGGAGTGCTTAAGTTCGGGGGCCCGGGGTCCCAAGGTGCGCGAGGTTATGGAAGTACGCATGTCAGGTAGATATGCTGGAGGTCTGTAGTCCGTGTTTTGGGTCTCTGTGAGCGGCCAAAGTGAGGTGGTTTTCCCGGTGTATGTCATGGAAGTCTGACATAGCCTGTGTCCTGTGAAATAGCCTGTTTGCCCATGTCAAATCTTATTATGAGGCACTATTTTGGGATCCATTTGATCCATTTTAACCCCTTTCTCTGGTTCTTCCAAAAGTTAACTTTAACTTATTTAGCCTCTGGAGGAATGCAAGGGGAGTTGCCAGGGGACTCTACCTGCATTATGAGGCACTATTTTGGGATACATTTTATCCATTTTAACCCCTTTCTCTGGTTCTTCCAAAAGTTCACTTATACTTATTTAGCCTGTGGAGGAATGCAAGGGTAGTTATCAGGGGAGTCTACCTGCATTATGATGCACTATTCCCGGGTACATTTTATCCATTTTAACCCCTTTCTCTGGTTCTTCCAAAAGTGAACTTTAACTTATTTAGCCTGTGGAGGAATGCCAAGGTAGTTATCATGGGACTCTACCTGCATTATGAGGCACTATTTTGGGATACATTTTATCCATTTTATCCATTCTGTACATTTGGCTTACCGCGACTGGTAGTTAATGTCGCTACGGGGGACGCGTATATCCCTAAGGTATGTTAGGGAAACTTCCATCCTGCATCTGCTCCCTGATCTCACGGCGAATTGTAAGTGGCTACTGCCTGAGATCGCATGCTGTAGTTTTATTAAATGTGCCAACTGTTAGGACTGTCTTAGGAAAGATAGCATTTAGATGTGCAGCTCCACTGTCATGGAATAGTCTGAAATTTAAATGGAAACTGAGCAATCTGGTGCCACTAAATGTTTTTAAAGCTCGGTTGGATGCTACTCAATCGGAAGCTGTTGGTACCTGCACATGTGGATAGTTATGTAAATTGTAAACCCTGTAATGATGCTGTATGATGTCCTTTTTGTTGTTCTGTTTATGTTTCATGTGGAACCTACTTGAGCAGGTCTCCCTTGAAAAAGAGATCAATGATCTCAATGGGATACACCTGGATAAATAAAGGTTTGAAATGAAAAAACTTGTTACCCGGAGGCGGTACCGCTGCGTTCGTTAAAGGCTCGCTCTATTGTGAAAGTGTTGGTTACATTTTTCTCCACGTTTGGCCTCCCAAAACACATCCAAAGTGACAAGGGATCTAATTTTATGTCCAATGTTTTCGCTCAGGTCATGTCAGAGCTAGATATCGGACACCGTACGTCAAGTGCGTACCATCCAGAGAGTCAAGGCGCGTTAGAAAGGTTCCATCAGACGCTAAAAAGCATGCTTCGCAAATTTTGCACCGAAACTAATCGTGAGTGGGATGAGGGTTTACCATTGTTGTTGTTCTCTAAGAGAGACATTACAGGAGTCTTTAGGATTCAGTCCGGCCGATTTTGTTTTTGGCCACACTGTGTGTAGCCCGCTGCGTCTGTTGAGGGAGAACTGGCTCTCCGATAAGTTAAAGAAAAAAGACAACATTTTGGACTTTGTCAGTTCATTCAAAGAAAGGCTGCATCATGCCTGTGATTTGGCCCGTGAGTCACTCCGGACCGCCCAGTCTAAGATGAAAGCCCGGTATGACAAAAAGACAGTTGCTCGGGAGTTTCAAATCGGTGACCATGTATTAGTTCTGCTGCCCGTTGTTGGTTCGGCCCTGCAAGCAAAGTTTTCCGGCCCGTATGAGGTGGGCCGTAAGCTCAGTGGAACGGATTATATGATCCATACTCCGGATCGTAGAAAGAAAACTTGTGTGTGTCACATAAACATGCTTAAAATGTATGTTGATCGTGAAAGTGGCGCCGCTCAATCTCCGATAGTAGCGCCTATTGCCTCTGTGTCTGTCACTCAGCCACCTTACAGCCCCAGTGATGATGGGCTGAGTGACAGGCGCGCTTCTGTGTCCTGTGCGCGCTTCGGTAATTCAGCGATATTGTCCAATCTAAATGAACATTTAACACATCTGTCCTACTCGCCCCGGGCTGATATTCGCAGGCTCATTGAAAATTATCCGAGTTTGTTTGGTGATACTGCTACTCAAACGACTGTATTGGCTCATGATATTGAGGTAGGCGAGCACAAGCCTATTTAACAGCATGCCTATCGTGTCAACCCGGCTAAGCGAGAATGAATGTGTCAAGAAGTGAAGTATCTCATTGAACACGGCTTCGCCGTTCCAAGCAATAGTCCGAGGAGTTCACCATCTCTCCTGGTCCCTAAGCCGGATAAGACGCCACGTTTTTGTAACGATTACCATAAACTAAATGCCGTTACAAAGCCAGATTCCTTCCCGCTTCCACGGATGGATGACTGTGTGGACCGTGTGGGTTCTGCTAAATATGTCACAAAGTTGGACCTCTTAGGCCGGTTGAATCGAACCCTGGTGCGGTTCATTTTGGTCGGTGTGAACACAGTCCGAGACCTCTTAAGTGAACTAAACAACCGGTCTCTGCTCCGCTAAAATAGGTGGTCTCGGAGCCCTTGCTTGCGAACTCTGGAGCGGTTCATTGCTGGTGTGAACGCAGTCCGCACCAAAACATAGGAAGCGTAGTATTTACGTGTCACAAGAACGCGGATATCTTCAAAATCTTTAGCGAAAGACTCTTTCAAGACATCCGCAGTTGTTTAGTTAAAGAATGAAGTGTTGAACAGTGTCGTGTAAAGTAAAAATTCTCCGTCAGCTACATAAAAGTAAGAACACCTGTCGTCGGTGAAACGCCCCACCTTACTGCAGAACGTCTCTCATTATGTGTTATAATGTTTTTTAACGGACGTTATCTGATTATATAATCATATTCGCGGGCCGCTAAAGTCGGTTGATCTCCAGATTAACAGCAGCATGAGAATAACCTGCCGAAAGTGCCGATGCTCCATGGCGGAGGCTCCGGTAGAAATTGCCGGGATTTGCGTTTTTACCCCCTTAACCTGTTAGGCCCCAAGCCTGTTTTTCAGGGTCGAAAATGACCATATCTTCCCTTCTAAAAGGGTTAAATTAATAATCTTTTTTCTCAAAGTAATGATAAACCTGTGAGTTGGATGTAGAAAAGTCAGAATCAATATAGATGTTTTTTATTTTAAAGAAAATTCAGATTGAACATGGTAAAAAACTGTACCCTGTATCAAGATTTATGCAAAACAAGTGATATTTGACCTTTTTAGACAGATTTAGCAAAAAAAAACTCTTCTGGGGCCATTTGGGTGGATTTGACCTATCTCTGGCCCCCCTTGCTCAATTTTGACATGTGACATCTCTTCCTGACCGTTAGAATCCAAGGGAAATCGTCCCGCACACACTCATGTTAAAAAAAGGTTGCGTCTTTGCACATGCAAGCTTGCAGCAGAGGGGAGAAATATCCCTGCTCTGATATCAAGCAACGGAAAAGCTGTTTTATTGCTTATGGATTATCAGAACATTTCAAAGGGGACACAGTCACATTGGATATTAACTTATGGATTAACTACAGCATCGTTTTAATGCCATTGAAGACCAGTTTTGACCAGACAAAGACAAAGGTAAGCCATGTTAGCGTTTTGGGCTACCTAGCGCCACACGTTTTTGTTTATAACATTGCGAGTTTGTATCTTTCAGTGTTGAGGTGGGCACCGTTAGATTCTGTGTCTCCTTGCAATCATAAAATATGTTGGATGTGCACCTAGGATAAGTAATAAGGGAGCTAGGAGTGATTTTCGGTGCAGTAATAGGTTAGCATTTTTTGCTCGGGTCTAATTCAGAGGGTCAATGTTACCATGGTGTGTTTTTTTTGGAAAAAAAAA